AACGATACCATCCAAATGATTTTAGTCTCAAAAACAGATATTTTGTAGCATGTGAATAGACAAGTTTGTTGGAGTGTATTGAGGACGGGAGAGAATTGAATGTGCTGGGAAATAGTGGCCTGAGAGCCTGTGGAAGTGGAGGCTGAGGAGCAGTCACTTCAGGTGTGCCTGGGAAATCTATGCCTTCCTGAGCCACCTTCAGCACGGTGGTTCTGGCTTCATGGAAGCAAACACTGTCTCCAACCTAAAAATGATGCTGGCAAGGGGGTATAAGAGATTCTCTCCAGAGGAACCCCAAACTTTGATAGCTTCTTGTGACTCTAGTAACCATTCCTGGTTGGAAGAACTAATTCATGGAGCTATTACAGCCCTAACATCTCCATGAATTAACAATTTTTCCTCACTAGGCATGAGAGTGAAGTGAATTCTGCACAGTGAATAACTCCACACAGGTGCCAATTCCATCACATTATGTAAATAGCCTGTGAATAATGGAGAAGCCTATGAAATGAAATGAAAGGAAATGAAATAAAAGGCATCAGTCAGTGCATTTGCATGGAAACCAAAGGAACCTTGTTTGAAAATGAGTGATAGCAGACAAGATAATTCTAATGTTGCCACTGTGGAATATTTCTAAGTGTCTTATTAGCATAGAATTGAAAGGACAGTGTTGTATTGCATTCATGAAGTCTATGAGGTAACACATCTGCAGTCAGTCTGACCCTTTGTGGTGAGGTTACTCAAAGTTTTGCTATAGATTTGCTCTCCTCTCATTTTTGAATTATTTTTCTATGTCTACTTTTACCTATTTTTCTGCCTATCCATATTTTCATTGTTTTCTCCTCTGTCCTGTACTCTTGCACATTTAAAATTTTCTTTCTATGTCTCCTTTTATCAAGTTGGCTATTCCTATTTTATACTTTTTTGTCACATAACCTGTTGCTTTTTATTTTTTCTATGTGTCTTTCATTTTTTTATTTCTGTTCTCTTGATTCATCCTGATGCTTCAGAGAGTGACCTTGGCATGCTGGTATCTCTGGAGTGTAATTTGTACCCCTCTGGGACTGCCAGGACATCTCTGCAGGTCATCATTCTTCCTCAGAGCAGTTTTTGTGTCCTCTCCTCCATCTCACTTGCCTCCAACAGATCAGCAGCTCCCTCAAGACATCTGGACTCTGATCAAGTCCCCTCCTGAATACCCTTGAGCCTTCTTCTGTCTGCTCTGACAATCCTTTAAATCTGCAGCAGGCTTTGTACCTTTATTTGGCCTTTTGGGTGATGTTTGGCCTCTGGATGTTGTTTGGCATTTGGGTGACCTTTGACCCCTGAATCAGAGACTCATAGAATCAACAGAGACTTTTTGATGGTCTTTGACCCTAGACAGATTTTGACATTTCTGTGACCCGTTGACCTTTTGGTGATTCTTGGCCTTTTGGTGCCCCATTTGTATGAGAACTGTCCTATCACCACTGCAGACAGTAAAATTTACCAGCTGGGCACGGGGAGAGTTTTCCACAGGATAATATTTATTTCTCAGTCCATGGGAGGAATCAAAGTCTTTAAGACACACACAGCACTGGCACTGCCAGAATTACAGTCAATAATCAATCAAGCTCTCTGCTCAACAGAATCAATTGCACAATGAATGTCAGCTCCCAAGTATCTAACCCTAGTTACACATGCTTACAGTTAAACCAATCAACCAGAAAATACACAGACATGGCACGATCTGTTCATTTACAAGGATGTTTATAAATATATTGGTTGGTCTACACGATCAAAATGCTCCAACAAAGATCTGATGCAGTTTGGGTTTTTTTAAAGCCATCACTGCTAAGACTTTGTCCATTGGGATAGCATTTGGGAGATAGGTTCCCCCTCTGGCTTTCCATCATTAATTCCATGTTGCTGCTCCCCCAGGAAGTTCAGTCCTCCAGCTGGTTGCATCAGGTAACAAGAGTCTGGTGAGCAAAGCTGTTAAGATTTTGTCTACTTGCTATACCAATAAAATAAGGGAAAGTCAAGTTATCAGCATTACCCAACACAGGGCAATATTTGTCAGTTGTAAGTATGGCATGTTGCAGTTACGTATATCACCGTCACACACTGTGTTGGAGTCCATAATACTTATGCTTTAAAAAGAGGCAACTACTCTTTGTCAGTTCGTATTCCTGTCAAAGGAAATTCACTCCAGATGACTTGCCTGGAAATTCAGTGTCAAGCTGTGTCTGAAGCCAGTGGATGTCCTGAGAGACCATGAAGGGTGATGTCTTCAGGACAGTGATGATCCTCTGTTCAGTTAACAATGATTTTTAGAAGAGTGGCATTAGGAAGAGATATGTGATAACTAGATGCTCAGAACAGAAATGGAGCATCAGCACTTGAGTCAAATGAAAGTGTGAGGAAGAAATGAGCAGAAGAAATCAAGGCACAAGTATTATTGTTCACATTTGATTCTGAAGCAGTGTTACTGCTCAGAGAGCTCCCACCTGCTAACTAACAACCCTCTTATGCCAAGATTCAGCCTGGAAGGAAAAATGGATGGCTTAACTCTGATCAGGATGTCAGGAGCAGACAAGTGGTGTTATAAAAAGCAATGGCAATTTTCTTTTTCTGTGCCTCTGATGCATACTGCCCAACACTTTCAGGGAGAGACAGGAAAGGGAGACCAACCATCAGCATCACATAATTTAAACCAGTGCTCATTTCACAGCTGTATTTAAACTACTTGGGCCTTGACACCAAAACCATCTCTGCTGTAAAACCAAGTACAATTTGGCATGCTTATAGAATGGGAATACTGGTATGGGAGCCACTTAGGCCAGGTTCACACAGGGGAATCTCAGCTGGGCCTGCTCCAAACACTAAGCACTGAGGCATTTGCCAACATGAGAACTGAAAATAATCTGAACTGTTGGGCTAATATTAATAAATTAGAGTAAATTGTGAATGTCACTTGGTTGTAAATTGCTTTACTCTTGGGCCTGAAGCTGTAAACAGTGTGCTTAAATCTGAGGAAGATGGTGATGGAGATTTGTGTTCCAAACCCAGGGAAATCCAGCTAATGGAAATAATTAACACTAGGTTATTCTTAACAGTCTGATCATTGGCCTTTATTGGGTGTTTACCTGTCTCCTCATTTCTTTTCTATGATGCACAAGGCAGGGGTTTAAGTCATGGTTTATGCACTCTACTGCACAGGTATGATATGGGTTATAATTTGACAAAAAATACTAAGTTATACCAAAATTAATCCCTACCTGTCATCAGATACTTGATTACCATGTCACTAATTCTGCCATTTTTTGCTCTTGTGAGTAGGACCACCCTTATGACTTTGTGGGCTCAGACACTAACGGATTTCAACAAGGTCTTTTTGCTCAGTGTGAATCAGGGAGGATATAACAATCCAGAGTTATCTGCAAGAACTTGTGAGGCTCTTGTCATAGAGCTCCTCTGATGAACAGAGTGATGCAGACAGTCTGAACTGATGCTGTAACAAGAGAACTGTGACCTGATGGAATCCTTTAAAAACAGGATGACTATAGAAAGTGATGGTCTCTTGAAAGAGAATTTTATAGCCTTAAGGTAAGTTTTATCACAGCTCAATCATCGAGGTGCTCATTGTAATCTGAAAGTTAATTCTTTTTCCTTAAGTGGGGCATTGGTAAATTGCCAGGGAATACATAACAAGGAATTTTATGTACAAGTGTTAAAACAAAGGGGTTTGGAACTCAGAAGGAAAAAAGAAGGTGCTTTAGCAATGCAAGTAATTAATTATATTTAACTTGAACAAGAGGAGGAGTAGTGAGTTGCTGGATTGAAGTGTTCCAAGTATTGTATTTAAACAGCCCAGTATTAATTGATTCTTTATGTTGTCACTGTAGCATGGATGAAGAAGAAGTTTTGGCTACTTTTTTATGGCCACACTGGAAAGTGGTTTTTAAAATGTTTTCATTTGAGAAAAGCTGTGTTCAGTATTACACGTTTAGGTTTCTATGCACTGTGTTACAAAAGACTATTTTCAAACACAGTTGGACATAAATGACCATATCTGCTCAAGTGTGGCCTCTCACTAGTGCAGAAATGTGAGGGAAAATATTGCTGAAATTAAAATGCAAACCTAATTTTCTACTCAAAGAGAAACCTGAAATCTGGGTAAACAGCTAAACCAAAATTGACTTTGAATTCATAGTGTGTTGGTTTGATAATGGAAATTCTAAAAGGTCTGTTGTAAGGACCAGTGGTGATGAAAACAGTTAAAACTGGTGGTTTGGAAAATGCAATGCATTTTTTCGTGTTGAACCGCATCAATCTGAGTGCAATTTGCAGTACATCAAATGGAGTCTCTTTTAGTGCTCATTAAATTAAAAAAAAGTTAAATTCCAACTCCAGCCTTTTCCCTTGTTAAAATACAATTTCTGGGCTGAACTGGTTTTAAACCAAAGCAGACTGCATGCTGGGGCTGGACGGAAGATGGTGGAAGATTAGGATAACTTCAAGGACCTTCCTTACTCTGTGAACTGCCTGTAAATTGCAGATTAACCAGGGATGGGATCAGTGTAGGGTAGGAAAACAAAAAGGCCAGAGAACAGTGTGAAAAGCTGCTGAAGTTAGGAACACCACAGTGTTCAGGGTTTACATGGGGAGAGCCAAGTGCTTAGCAAGAACATCCCCACCAGTGGCTGAAATGGCAACAGTTTTACTGGAGCTAAGCTAATATGCCATTCCCTTGGGAACTGTGGTTTAAAAAACTAAGCTGTTAATACTGTTCATAATTCCTTGTTATTGATCTTTAGGACTCTTGGAAGTGGTTTATTAATTATCATTAATACTATCATAAAGTACCTGGTAAGAGTGTGCCCATGGGAGCGTAATCCTGGTTTTGCAGAACTAAATGGCAAAGACTTCCCCTAAACTTGGTGGTAACATGGCCAAGACCCACAGAAGGAGGCTGTCTGCAGCAAATTCAGAATTTTGGAAACTGCTGTTGGATTGGTTTATATATCCACAGGTGGATTGTTTAGTTTCAGAGATCCCTTAGATGCATCAGTTTGCAGGTTTGAAAGGGCAATGTTTTCATATTCCTCTTGTGGTGCTGAACATCTGCAGTGGTGAGCTAGGACTACCAAATCCTTCTGAAAGTTCCTGTTCAGAAATCCATAAAAGATGGGGTTGATACAGGTGGAGATCATGGCCATGAGGTGGCATATTGTAAATGCCAGGTTATGATTACAGCTCATTAGTGCCTCATAGTTCCAGTCAAACACAACATTGAATATATTGAGAGGCAACCAGCAAGCAGCAAAAGTCACAACAATGGATACCAACATCATGTTAATCCTTTTGTTTTCACTCAGCCTGTTCTCATTCTCCCTCATCCTGTCTAGTTTACCACGTCTCCTTCGAAGACATACAAATATCCTGAGATAGCAGATAAAAATAAAGCCCAGTGGGAAGCAGTACTGGAAAACCAACAGGCTAGTGGTGAAAATCAGTCTCTCTGTAAGAGATGGCCATGCTTCAATGCAAGCAACCTTGTTCTTGTAGAAATCACTATGGAAAGACAGATGTTTGAAGGGTTCGTCAGTTATTTTGTGATACATTAAAAAAGGAATGGATATTACAAGGGAAAGTCCCCAGATGCAAAGAATTCCCCAGTAAGCATGTGAAATATTAGGCTTCCAGCCACGAGGGTTCACAATTAACTGATATCTCTCAACAGCAATGAGTACAAGGGAGAAAATGGAGACTGAGACAGATAAACTTTGTATGAAAGAACCTATTTTACACATTGCTTCCCCAAAGATCCAGTGGTCCATTAAGGTATATGCAACTGTGACAGGAATACACATGATACAGATCAAGACATCTGATAAAGAGAGGTTGGCAATCAAAATGTTGGTAACATTTTGAGTTTCTTTCTGTCTCTTTATTATAATAATCAAGGAAAGATTGCCAAAAAGCCCCACTAGTGTAACTAAGGTGTAAGCTGTAATAAGCAAGAATTCTGCAAGGAAGGAAAGTTGGCATGTATCAAAGTTCAAAAACTGGGAATAGCTAATGTTAGAGAGAGTTTGATTAGACAGGATCTCACTGGGATGCTGAATGGCTTTATCCATTGTGAAGCATCTTCCAACCTAAGGACAAAACCTTGTGTTATTTGGAGTATACTTTGTATGGAGCTTTCCAAAGCAGTGAGTACTATGGGTCTATCATTGTAGTTGGCATCCTTAGAGCTTTGAGCAAATCTAATCTGATGAACTGCAGTATGGAAAAGCAAGTGGTTATTAGTGGGTTTATGTATCTCTGTGGATGGAGGTTGTTGCCACCTTTCTGTGGTTTTGCCCTGACAGTGCTACAGACCTGCAACTGTGAGGTACAAGAAATAGCAGTGACAGCAGCTCTGATTAAACTTGTACGGACACTTTCATACAAATCCTCTTTTCCCAATTGTGGATAAAAGTTGATTTTTCAGAATAAAATATTTTAAGATCCGTTTCTGCTGAAGATTTAGCAAGGTTTAATGGATTCCAATGAGAATAATCTTTGCTCTTCTATTATCAGAAAAGAAGAATTGGGTCCTGCCATCACACTGCTAGCTTAGACATCACACTTTTATCTTCTTTAGAACTACAAAGCAATGTGAGCTAATACAGCAAATCCTCCTGAATTAATCAGAATTATGTGTGCTTGAGCTCAAGTGCTATTCAGCACCTCTGAGAGTGACATCTTTGAGGGAGTTTCCTGTTCTGCTGATGCATTGAAGATAGCATGTCCTTTTCCCTCAGTCTAACCCAAGAAAAACATGAACCAAAGATTACATTGTAGTTACACACACAATTATTTCTCTATCAGTAGTTACCAAGGCTTGTCTCATTTCCATACACACTGTTCTGTTGTACAAGTTTGACAAATGAAACCCCCAAAATTTTTTATGGTTAAATGCAACATATACTCCAGATATACAGTGCTGATTCTTCCTTTATCACTAACTTAAGCAGGAGTCAAGTAAAAACTCTGATATTAGTACAGTTCTGTTGTTATAAAACTAATACGAATGGGAAGAATTTGGTTCAGGAGAATATTCTGATGGGTTTGAATTTATCACTGAGTGAAAAAGTTAATCCTAAATCAAAGGCTCACCAGCTTTCTGGCCAGAAAGAGGTTGTTTCCAACCTGGGAAAGGAAAAAAAGAAGGATGAAAAGAGTTACTTTGAAAACTGACAGATGGCTAAGTATGCTCTACACATACATTTCAAAACTCAGCTTTAACTCACCTTAATTCCTTATGAAGTTATTGCAAAACTAGCTGGAAGGAGGTCATTCTCCACTCCTAGTAATAGTGCTGAGAGCCTGTGGAGAAAGGAGAATAAAAAAGCAGTGGGAAGTTAAAGAGGATGCATAAAAACAAGAAGGGATAGATGGATGTTTTATTATTACTAGAAGTAACCTGCATATATGTAGAAGATTTTTCAACATTTTATAGACATGATTCCCATTACTTAATCACTAAAGAATAAAAAAGTGTTTGGTTGATTGCACAGGACTAAACACCAACCCCAGGGTAAAACTGGGAATTATGATTCTCTAACTGCTTGCCCCCAGACACTCAAACAATATTTCAGCCAGAGTTATATCCTGGACTGCTTTATCCTGATCCTTTCCTTTGACTTAAGTTTGGATGCTTCAAACTAAGATTCTAAAAAAACCCCCAAACCCAACACTGCCACCTTTGGAGCATCTACTACCGCTCCCATACTGATTAAAATACTCTTTCAGTTAGCACACTCATCTTGGAGTGGGAAGTGGCTGTAGATTTATGTGACTGTGTGGCCCTGACGTTCCAAATGTGACTTAATTTGTGGTCAGGGTTAACATTAAGCTCTGTAGTCTCTCTAAATTACCCACCTGGCTTGGTAACAGCTATATCAAGGGAATGGCATGGACACCTATACAATCAGGCTGCAAAAGTCATTGAAGTCTGGTGGCTCAGATAGATTTTTGCAGTCTCTTGCATGTGTGCCTACTCCAGTAGGGCAAGAACAAGAGCTGTGAATCCTACTGTGTGTGCACCAGCCTCCAAAAACTCTTCTCCTACTTCTACTCTTCTCTTCTTCTACTACTCCCTGACAGGAGGTTGGAGTCAGGTGGGGGTTGGTCTCTTCTCCCAGGCAACCAGCAGCAGGACAAGAGGGCACAGACTCAAGTTCTGCCAGGGGAGGGTTAGGTTGGATATTAGGAAGAGATTTTTTACAGAGAGAGTGATCAGACATTGGAATGTGCTGCCCAGGGAGGTGGTGGATTCACCATCCCTGGAGGTTTTCAAGCTGAGACTGGATGTGGCACTTAGTGCCATGGTCTAGTGACCACGGTAGGGTTGGACTCGATCTTGGAGGTCTGTTCCAACCAGGTTGATTCTATGATTCTATGATTCTCCTAATGAGGCCAGGAGACAGGACAGGGATTCTGGAGCTAGCAGAGTCACACCCTGCAGAAATTGCAGGGTGTGCAGAAACTGGTGATGTGGCTGGGCAACAGCACCTTCAGGCCACATATTTCCTGGAATGCACTGTAAACCACTTTTCCCTGGAGCAGCACTAATTGCCTGGCAGGATTTGTCACACTGAAAGGTAATGTGGTGGAAGAACAAGAGGCAGTAAATGGTAAATTTACCACCAACAGTGGTAATTGTTGTCCTGATGAGCTTTACTGCCACTTTAGATGTGTTAGGGTCTAAAGTCTGGCTGCTTTGTCCCAGAGGTGATCTTTCTCTTCCCACTGCCTGTGGTGTTCACATGGCTGGCAGAGACTGAGCCCTGTCCTTTAGGAAAAGATCAGGTATTAGCAGGGGATCTGGCTTGGAAGCAGATACCTTCAAAGACCAATTCTACTCTTCCCTGCTTTTTATGTGAGCAGGAGAAGCTGTGGGGGCTCAAACACCACAAGGCTGAGCCAAGTTTGTGATATTTTATGCACTATTTGCTAAGCTTGCTTATTTATACGTGGTTGCACAACACAGTTTGATGGTGAGTGCTGAATGTCCTCTCCCAAAAATTCAGGATGGGTGATAGGAATTCTTTGGCATTTTCTGTTTGGGAAAAGTCTCTGTACTGACCTAGTCAGTTCACTTGCGACATCAGTTTTAGGCACACTGATCACTGCACTGTCCTTTTCTGAGGAAAGAGATGAGTTTCTTTTCCCTGTTTGGTTTGTGCTGGGAGTTAAAAAGTGCAGGCTTTAGGACATGTCGTTCTGCCAGGCAATTAAAACATTCCCTTGGCAATAAAACAATCACACCTGTCTTGTTAAACATTTGGAGTATTCATGGCAGCAGAGAAATAAGTTACAGTAGTACTTACTGCAGCATGTTGGACTATATTACACATACAGTCACTTTTAAAGCTAATAAATGTTAGTGGATTCATCACCCTTGAACAGCAGCTACAGCTGATACCAGAATTGAAGTGTTTAATAAGAGAACTAATTGCTTCAACCCCTAATCATGCATTTTGAAAAATATTCTCTACACAAAGTTTAACACTCTAAGTGATTATAAAGCCCTTAGCCTTTAGCTGTTTCATTCCTCTGCCTACAGAAATGTTACTGAAATGTTCATTAGCAAAAGAAAGGTAAAAGCATAGTCTAAAATAAAATGAGTTTCTCTCCTAAGCTGTTTCTTACCTGTGCTAAAGCTGAACAGTCCCATCCCTTCAAGGTGACCAGTAAACATTTCAGTTGCAAACATTGTCTGTTCCTAAAGTTCCAAAGTATTGCACAGATAAAATGTGGAGGAAATTTTCCATTCAATTTTAAAACCAGGATGTACAGAATAAAACAATGCTTTCAAAGATATCTTTCAGTAACTTTTGCCATGCTTTTATGGATTTTCTGACTTCTTACCTGATGAAAAATTCAAGTCATATCCACACTGCCTTGAACAATTTTCCTTTTCCCTTCCTGCTTTAATTACGGAGCCAGCGAACACATCTTCTTTGTGTGTAACAGAATCCAGAGCAAAGCCATCTGCTGCTAAAGTGATGCTTAAACTCTCCTTTCTTCTCTTTCTGAAACAAACCACAGATCCCCAATTTCCAACTGTACTCAGCAGGCTGTGGGAAGACTGCTGAGGAATAAACCAAGCTCTGGAATCCAAGAGAGGCGAACAGCAGTGAGCAGGGAGGAGGAAGGACCAGTAGTCATGGGGATGGATTTTCCTCCACTGTGTAGCTTCCCTCCACCCTGTCAAACACCTTATCTTGCAATTTCGTTTTCAATTATTGAATCTGTTTTGTAGTACAAATATTTTCCCTCTGTTGGATTCCATACATAAACATCTGCAGATGGTATGTTGCTTTCTTAACTGATACAATACAGTAAGCTGTTTGAAAAGAGCATGCAATCCTATTAAGTGCAAAATTTGCTTTATTGCAATCAAGATAATCAGATTTTCATTATAAATCAATATTTTAGCTTATCCTCCACAGCTATAAAAATATTCCTGATAAGCAAAGCAGGGCACATTGCACTAGCACAGAGTGAAAAGGGGCTTTATTTTTATCACTGTTTTTCCAGTAAAACTCCATACTTTTTATAGTCATTTGTTTATAAAAATTAACATTCAGTGTTTCCTTACGAAATACTTAGAGTGGACATTTATGGGATGGGAAAGGAACTCTTTTTTTTGTTAGGATGTGCTGTTGGGGAAGTTACTGTATAAACTCTTTGCACCTGGGTCCACTTAACCCCCAGTATCCCAATCTTTTTTTTTTGGAGAAAATGATTTTTGAAAAGCAGTAGGATTCGGGGGATGAGCAATATGGATGTTGTACCCAAAGTACAGTTCAGAACTAAATATCTGAGAATATTGTCAGTCTTCATGCTATTGGATTTGCAGAAAACAGCGGTGGAGGGAACCTCCTGGATCAGCCAGATGAACCTCCTGCTTCTCCTCTATTCCTGGTATGTTTGTCCAGCCTGTTTTTTAACCATCATCTGTGGTAATCCTAGATTAGGTATTCAAATGCCTAATTTACTGTTATGAAAACTGCCTTGACACCTCTCCCTAAAGCTTCCTTCTCTCTAGTTTAACACATTGCTTTTTATTCTAGGTGTGGTATGG